CTACATCGCCCGTTTCAACGACCGAGTTCAAAATATGGAACCCTGTCATCCAGAAACTTTGCTTGTTATGGCCATTGCCGGGTTGAAGCCAAACTCGATCTTCCGTTGGACATTATGCCAAAATAAACCGAATACGTTTCAAGAATTTCTCGCCCGAGCCCAACAGCATATCATAGCGGAAGAAGCCATGTCGGTTCCCGACTTCAATTTCAAACAAAAGGCCTCCAAGGTGGGAACCGACGAAAAGAGGAAGAATAAATTTTTTGATAAACAAAACAAGACTCAATTCAGGGGGCCTCTCCGGGGAGACCCCAACGATCCCGAAGTCCGAGCAGCTCGAAAGCAATACGCGACCGACGTAAAGTCCGGTTATCAAACCGTGTACTCGGCGGGAGCAGCTGTTATCTACGAAGAAATTAAGGGGAAGGGCATTTTGCCAGATCCCAAGCCACTTCGGGCGCCTGAAGAAAAATTGGACAAGTCCCGATACTGCGACTATCACAAGTCGCCCGGGCACAACACGGATGAATGTTTAAGTTTGTTGGCCGCATTGTTGCGCTTAATCGGCCACCCGCAGCTTAGGAAATTTTATCGTAATGCTGATTCCCAGAGACGAGGTCCTGGACGACAGATTGAATCTTTTGATGATGAAGACGATGAGGAAGACCGAGGTGCAATGACAAAACGCATCCGACAGGGAGATAAAGAAGTATTCACGTTCACCTCGGAGACCTCCGGTTCTGCCCTTGACGGAATTTCCCGGGGACGCAAGCGAGATAGATCTCCTGAACCAATGCAAATCACTGTCCATCGGGTCAATACCAACAACTCTCGAAGCACGTTGTCCCGCCGACAAGCTAAGGCGTATGTCCGACAAGCCTACAACTCCGGTAAACAAGTTTACACCACCGATTTGAGAGATGTCCTCAATAATCGGAACTGTCCAATAACTTTCAATATGGAAGATGCGAACCACTTCGCCCATCCTCATTCTGACGCCTTGGTCATTACCGTTCCAATATGTGGCATCCCGGTACATCGCGTCATGGTGGACACTGGGGCCTATTCAAGCATTTTGATGCTGAAAGCTTTTGATAAGATGGGTCTCGACCCCGCCGAAATCAGACCTTGCAGACCTTGCAATGATCAAATCCAGGGGTTTAATGGCAGTATTTCTAAACCCATCGGAGAAATCACTTTGCCCGTCCGATTTGGTACCTCGGAGAATGTCACCAAACTTGTTATGGAGACTTTTAAAGTTATGGATATAAACAACGAATACAACGCCATCATCGGCAGAACGGCGTTGTACAAACTTCGTGCCGCCGTCTCCATCTTCCATTACGCATTAAAGTTTCCAACCACCCGAGGAGAAGGAACCCACTTCGGAGATCAAAGGGAAGCTCGACAACTTGTAACGCTCATCCCTTCTCAGGGAATTCACTCAACTTCGACGATCAACCACGAGGCCTCCCCACAACATCACCATCCAAACGATACAATGACCGAAGAACCGAGCAGCCACGTCGGTGATCCTTCCACCTCGGATCCTTTAACCGAGGACCGAGGACGCCGACCTGGAAAAGAACCCCTCCTAGAAGAAGACGAACTGGATCCCCGAGCCTTGTTTAAAGAAAAAAGTCGACCTGACCGAGCTGAACCTGGGGAGGACGTGGAGTTAGTCTATATTGACGAACCAATTTTCCACAAGTCGTTA